AAATTGCAAGTAGATAAATAGGTACCGCTTCGGTGGGAAGGTAACAGCGTTCCGTGCGCCTTGGTGTTTAGTCATGCCGGCCACATGACCACGGAAACGTCTTCGGACAGCGCTGGCTCTTCGGCTTTGAAACGGAGATGAGCACCGCAACCCTAGAGTCGGATTCGACTGGCTTTCGAGCAAGGGAACCTTTACCTTTATATAAATCCAGTTAGGGGTAGGCCATCTTGTTTTTCATTTATAATCCTGATGTTTAGGGTCTAAACATGAAGGGGCCAACTAGTCAAGGCTCTGGGAGGTCATTGCTTGGAACTTCGCAGTGTTTTCAAAAAGTAAATTGCAACTGCCCATAGCTCCAGGCATATCTCTTGAACACGGGAAACTCTCTTACTGAATCAGACCCTTGGTCCATCAAGATCAGAACTGTCAACTCAGACTGACAGTGGCTTTCCAGGGTCTCGAGCTGAGGTCTTTCACATCACCTGCTGCCCAACCCTTGTTTTAAACCGGGGATGCTGAGGAGGATTGAACTTGGGGCCTTCTGCCTACTGAGCAGATGCTCTACTACTGAGCCATGTCCCCAGTGGATCAGAGCCATTGGGGCAGGGAAGAGGGTTTTATTCCTTCTAACCTGGAATGGTTTCATCAGGTGAAAACACCATCTCCTCCTCCTCCATCCCCTGAATTTAGATTGGGTTTACAAATATACTAAAAGGAAAAATGGAAGAAGAATTTCTGGGACCAGGGAGGGCACTTTGTCGTGATACACTTATAATAGTAAGACTGGCCTTAGATGAGTTTGATCTGAGGTGTCAGTGAAGTGACAGTCAGCATGTGACAGCAGTGGGCATGTGACTGCAGCGTTCCGTGCGCCTTGGTGTTTAGTCATGCCGGCCACATGACCACGGAAACGTCTTCGGACAGCGCTGGCTCTTCGGCTTTGAAACGGAGATGAGCACCGCAACCCTAGAGTCGGATTCGACTGGCTTTCGAGCAAGGGAACCTTTACCTTTATATAAATCCAGTTAGGGGTAGGCCATCTTGTTTTTCATTTATAATCCTGATGTTTAGGGTCTAAACTTGAAGGGGCCAACTAGACAAGGCTCTGGGAGGTCCTTGCTTGGAACGTCGCAGTGTTTTCAAAAAGTAAATTGCAGCTGCTCATAGCTCCAGGCATATCTCTTGAACATGGGAAACTCTTTTTTACTGAATCAGACCCTTGGTCCATCAAGATCAGAACTGTCAACTCAGACTGACAGTGGCTTTCCAGGGTCTCGAGCTGAGGTCTTTCACATCACCTGCTGCCCAACCCTTGTTTTAAACCGGGGATGCTGAGGAGGATTGAACTTGGTTCTGTTCAGAATAACACAAAGGGCTTGAGACTGGTATAATAAAGCAAGTTCAAAATAACATGGGCCAATAGATATGGTTCCCGCGCCCGCCTTGAGGGCTCATCTCGCGCTCAAACCTTGAGAAAGCAACGGTTATAGCTGATTAAACAATTCTTCTGTTCTCACACTACTGTTCATTATAGACTAAGCAAAAGCCTCCAAACGCGAACCACCTGTAGCCTTGGCTGATAAGGTTCCTTCAAAGCAACGCTAGCGTACATGGAAAGGAATGCAGTTGATGATGAGCGCTTGAGGGTGAGGGGGGACCTGCGCACAAGAGTCCAAGCCAGTTAGGGAAAGGCGGGGGGGGGGCAGACACATCTCATATGCACGGAAAAGACCTATTGGCAGCTTGCTGACAATAATAAGAAAGATGGTTATATTAGTTATGAAACTTTCAGGAGAAGATTTGCATGCAGAACGTTAAATTGGGTTTTTTTATATAGAACTTTGCATTCTCCCCCCCCCCTTCCCTTTCCCTCTTTCTATATATAAACTAATAAAATTCTTTAAAAAATTAGATTGGGTTTGGAAGGAAGGAAGACAGGCGCTCCTCTTTCTTTGCTTCTAGGGCTGCCGAAACGTAGGCTTAAAACCTCTCTCCCTTCCCTGTGCGAGCCCTGACTTGAATCGATGGCTGCAATTTGCTCCTTAAAGACACAGGGTAGATTTGTTTGCCGATCTCCCCGCATCCCACCTGGTTTGTCTGTGCAAATTGCCCAAGTGAATGCTTTCCCCCAAGGCTGTTCCAATGCAGAATTAGCCTAGGCAGCCTTGGTAACCAGGGCCATTGTTCATGTCAGTTGTGAAACAACCAAAAAGAACCTAGGGTTTCTTTTATTACCCTGGTTCAAGCCAGAAATGGGTTTAAGTAGCTGCGCTCGCTTTGTGTGCGATACAGGCAAAGCAAAATATTTTTTGCAGTAGTGGCGGAAAATGCCATCAAGTTGCAGGCAACTTATGGTGACCCTGTAGGGTTTTCAGGCAGTTTGCCATTGCCTGCCTCTGTGTTGCGACCCTGGACGTCTTCGGTGGTCTCCCATCCAAATACTAGCCAGGTCTGACCCCGCTGAGCTTCCGGGATATAATGAGAATCAGGCTAGCCTGGGCCACCTAGGTCAAGGAAAGTACCTTTTGAGTTCTATTGAATTCTGTGTAGGATCGACACGTTTGCTTAATTCTGCCATTGAAATAATTGGGACAAGTCCGCAACTATGACTCACGTGCACTCTTTGGATGGTTTCCAAGGGTAGCCGTGTTGGTCTGCAGTAGAACAGTTAGATTTGAGTCCAGTAGCCCCTTAGAGAAGGAGCTGCGGTGGCTCAAGTGGTTAAGTCGCTAAACTGCAGGCTGTGGAAGGTCAGTAGTTCAGCAGTTCGAGACCCGAGTGTGCCGCATGACGGAGTGAGCTCCCGTCTCTAGTTCCAGCTCCTGCCAACCTAGCAGTTCGAAAGCAAGAAATTGCAAGTAGATAAATAGGGACCACTTCGGTGGGAAGGTAACAGCGTTCCGTGCACCTTGGTGTTTAGTCATGCCAGCCACATGACCACGGAAACGTCTTCGGACAGCGCTGGCTCTTCGGCTTTGAAACGGAGATGAGCACCGCAACCCTAGAGTCGGATTCATTCCTAAAAGCTTACACCCTGAAACTCTTGTTGGTCTCTAAGGGGCTACTGGGCCTCGAATCTAATTAGTCTTTGGGTGACCATCCTTTTTCTAGGAAGCCATCCTATTGGGTATAAGCCACAGGAAACGTTCTCTGGTGCGAGCCCCTTTAATTTGAGTGGAGCTTGTGGAGGAGAACATCCCGGTGCCTCGTGATCTCTGGCGATTAGTTCCCAGTGCCATTACTGGTGGCGGCTGAAATGTAATAACCAGGGCATTGAATTACGTTTCAAGCTGCAAGCAGATGAAGTCCAAGTGTCATGAAGTTGGCATGTTGACATTTATTTTAATACCTTCCTTTAGGATGTGACCGAAGAAGATATTGAGTCTGAGCTGGCGATCATTCGTGGCCACTGTCATGAAGTTGGCATGTTAACATTTATTTTAATACCTTCCTTCAGGATGTGACTGAAGAAGATATCGAGTCTGAGCTGGCGATCATTCGTGGCCAGATGGCTTATATTTTGCAGCTGCAGGGTCACACGGAGGAAGCTCTGCAACTCTACAATCAGATAATCAAACTGAAGTAAGGGCTTCTCTGATCTGTTTTCTTTCCTCTGACCACCTTTTTTGGGAGGGGGGGGGAGATCTGTGTATCTTTTGTAAATGTGTTCCATTCTTTACAGGCCAACAGATGTGGGATTGCTTGCAGTCATTGCCAATAACATCATTACCATCAATAAGGTATAGAGCTCCCAAGATTATTCATCAAGGGGGTTTGAGAATGCAAGATGAGCCCTGCTAGATCAATCCAGCATCCTGTTGCCCACGGTGCCAGCCAGATGCTTCTTAGAAGCCCACAAACTGGGCGTCAGCACCCTCCCCTGCCATTTTGCTCTCCAGTAACCGGCATTCAGAAGTTCACTGCTTCAAAACCTGGAGCTTCTGTTCGGCTCTCGTGGCTACTGACTCTCGCTGGCCCTGCCCTCTTGCAGTTGTCTAGTTGTAAAACGTTCTTGTCCTGAACATTTGTCCCCCACCCGGCACTCTTGCATGCATTTGTGCCCCACTCGGAAAAGGAGTGTGGCCATGTGCCACTTTGCAGACCTGCCCCGTTAGATAAATCCCTTCACCCTGTGCCATTTGCCTTCCACAGGACCAAAATGTTTTTGACTCAAAGAAAAAGGTGAAGCTGACCAATGCAGAAGGCGTGGAGCATAAACTCTCCAAAAAGCAGCTCCAAGCAATAGAATTCAACAAAGCTTTGCTGGCCATGTACACCAACCAGGTATTAAGCTAGGCTCGTTTGATTGTTTCAGTACGTCATCTGTCTGTCTGTCCTTAGGAACTGTGCTACTCATTCAGGAGAACTGAGAGATACAGTCCTCTGGTGATTGTACCATTCCAGAATGCAGATAGGGGAAACTTTATGAATGAATGCTCCATATGCGTAAAAATATCTACTTTAAAGAAAGCTTTCATACAGGGATAAGCCTAGACGGGAATTCTTCACCCAATCAGAAAAGCGTTCCACAGGCAAGTTGTCTGTGACTTGGGAGATCGTTTTCTCATGCAGTCCACCCAAGTACATATATTTAATATAGCGCTATTAGGGCTGTACAGTGCAATCCTCTACTTTCCTGGATTTGTCTTAAGATCAGTTTACAAAATCATTTTAGTTAGTGAACTGTGAATCTCCTGTAGATGTTTTGGATGTGGTTATTTGTTGTTCCAAACTAGGAGTCAGTTTGGTGTAGTGGTTAAGTGTGTGGACTCTAATCTGGGAGAACCGGGTTTGATTCCCCCCTCCTCCACTTGCACCTGCTGGACGACCTTGGGCAAGCCATAGTTCTGGCACAGCTGCTCTCTCAAGAGCTATTCTCTCAGAGCTCTCTCAGCCCTACCTACCTCTCAGGGTGTCTGTTGTGGGGAGGGGAAGGAGTTTGTAAGCCGCTCTGAGACTCCTTCAGGTAGTGAAGGGTGGGGTACACATCCAATCTCTTCTTCTTCTTCTTTCCTATTTTGTCCCTTCCTCTTCTCCTGTCAGTTGTTAATTGGGAGGGGGAATCCTGTTTTCCACTTCCTCTTTGAGGCTCTTCCTTTGTGCAAGTTCGTGCTGAGGCCTTGCCAGAAGAAGGGCTGAAGCAGCTTAGACTTTCACTGCATCGTCAGCAGAAGTAAACATTACAAGGGAAACTTCTTTCTCATTCTTTCCTCATCTGCCTCTCCAGGCATTTCCTCTTCTTGCACAAATCATGTATAAATCGCATAAAATAAATAAATTCATGCATTCCGACCAGTGGATCTTATGGCAGGGTCAAAATGGAGAAAGCAGGATGGGTACAAAGCTGTGCTGACTGTCGGCCTGGATGGTGTGCTGTGCAGTCTGGTAAAACAGTGCCACGTCAGCTAAACATCCATTATCATGGTTTTTGACTGGGATACCAAAATCCATGTAGCGAGCTGCAGTGAGGTGGACTTGCTGTGCCTCTTACATTCACGCTCATTGCTTGTTGTTGGACACATAAACTTTGCTTTCTTTCTTGTATAATCTGCGTCCCTAACTGGATTTCTCTCCCCTCCTCTTATCCCGCAGGCCGATCAGTGTCGCAAATTATCATCAAGTTTAGAGTCGCAGAGCCCCGAACACCTCCTTCCTGTGTTAATCCAGGCGGCTCAGTTGTGTCGTGAGAAGCAGCATACCAAGGCAATAGACCTTCTGCAGGTAGGCTGTAATTTCCTTGCTTGAGAGAATAAGCAGCAGGTTTGCCTCTAAGGAGACCACACCCAAAGGCAGTACATAAATCTGGACCAACTGGTCGTGAATCTGGGAGACATTCCTGGAAAACTGTCCCAACCTGGATAGCCCAGACTAGGCCGATCTCATCAGATCTCAGAAGCTAAGCAGGGTCTGTCTTGGCTAATATTTGGAAAGCTGACCTCCAAGGAATACCAGGGTAGGGATGCAGAGGCAGGCAATGGCAAACCACCTCTGAAATGTCTCTTGTCTTAAAAAAAAGTCTAGCTCGCCACCTAGTGGTGCATAATGCTAAGGAGCTAGAACGTCTGGTCGCCAGACAATCTTAGGATCTCCTTGCTATGCTACACACAATGCCATATTATAATAATAATCCTGAGGAACTAGTTCCAGGCTAATTATTATTTGCCCTCTCCTTGTTCACTCTGGCTCCATGTTGAGTGTGGTTCTTTATTACTCACTGCGGTTGGACCAACCAGGTCCTTCCCAGTCTCTTCCAGAAGCTTATACCCTTCTTCCTCATCCCCTCTCATAGCAGACTGCGATTTTCAGGTGGGGCCCTAACTCAGTGGTAGAGCATCTACTTGGCATACAGAAGGTCCCAGACTCAATCCCTGACATCTCCAGTTAAAAGCTATCAGGCAGTGTGAAAGACCTCTTCCCTGAGACCTTGGAGAGCCACTGCCAGCAGGCAGGACATTACAGACTTTGATAGACCAGAGGTCTGACTCTGTATAAGACAGCACATGTTCATGTGTATAGTTCATCCTCATTACATCTGTGTCGATAAACATGCTGACTCTGGTTACCTGTCAACCGCAGTGTGGTGATGAGTGAGTTTGCAGGCTGTAGTTTGAGCCAGCCATAGTTGGACAGAAATTCCAGCACAAAAACCGACCAACCCCAAAACTGACTTTGAAAGCGAAATCGGGGAGGGGACTTGCACATGAGACAGGGGGAGCATGCAAAGATGCAAAAGAACATGTGGCCACATAGGGCTGTTCTAGTCATCTAACGTGGGGTAGGTTGTGCAGTATGCTGTTGAGGTTGACCAAACAGACATTGGAATTATGGCTTAGCTGGCTAAGTCCCAGCAGATGTGTATAGGGATACTCCAGCAAGTCCTGCTCATCACTTTGCAAGCAGAGGGAGGTTGGAGCAGCTGGGAAACTGCCCTCACCCTGGGTTTGCCTGCTGCCCATATAATGCCTCGACAGGGTTAATCATCCAAGTCACTTCAAACCATCGTTTCACATTCTGGTTTGCATTCAGGCCTTAACAGTAGTTAAGATATTGTGTCGTATTTAAGCATGACAAGACGTCGTGTCTCCCGTTACAAACAGTTAGCATCCTCACAAACTGTCAGGGATAAGGCCAGGAGTACAGGGGAAGAGTTGCTGGTCTTAGCTGAAAGAGTCAGAGGTTGCTTCTGGAGGCCAGATCAGGGGTGGCCTGGTCTCTCCGCTGAACAATGAGACGTGCCAGATAAGGGAGTCCAGAAACCCAGACCAGAGTAGCCTTAACGGAGGTAAGAAATAAAGGACTAACAGACCTTTCATAGAAGAGAGTAGCATAATTAATACCAATAGATAAAAATATATCTGGGCCCAGGTGCAAGAAGCGTCTGAGAAAGGGCAGAATAGTTAACTAAGTACAGAAGTTCAAAGATTGGCTGTATTGGCTGAGGGCCAGAATGGCCATACGCAGGGCTATTTTGTGGCAGGAACGCACAGGAACGGAGTTCCGGCTGGCTCCCAAGTTGGCCACACCCAGCAGGAACTCATTAGCATAATAGGCCACACCCAACAGCAGAAACTCATTAGGACTGGCTACATTAGGGGTGTGTGGCCTAACATGCAAAGGAGTTCCTGCTACAAAAAAAGGCCCTGGGTTTTGACAACAAACAAGGTAAACAGAATAAGAAGGGAAAGGTGGGTGTGGCTGGATGACCACACTTCTGGTAACATGGGGGTGCGGCCTAATGTGCTAATGAGCTGTGCTGTCAGGGGTGTGGCCTAATATGCTAATGAGTTTCTGCTCTTGGGTGTGGCCTATTATGCTAATGAGTTCCTGCTGGGCTTTTTCTACAAAAAGAGCCCTGGAGAAACTTGCAATCCCTATTTTATCTTCTTTGTTCGGATAAACAGTAGCAAGAGTGAACGAACATGTTGAAGAAAATAGACATTATGAGATAATTAGTTAAGAATGAGAGCCCTGTTAGGTGGGACAGCTTGCTTTTGCTGGAAGATGATTTTGAAAACCTGTAAATACAGGAAACTGAATTGATCTGGAACACCATCTTTAAAGATGCTCCTTGCCTGTGGCCTTGTTTATTTTTGTTAAGAAATAAATAATGAGCTCAAATGGTTGCTGTCCTTTAATGACCTAGGTAAAATTAGTAGGAAGCGTTATTATATTATTTTAGGCAAGTTCATGTAAAAAGTGTAAATAATTGTGTTTTACTAAAAGGACAAAATAGAGGCAAGATTCTTTAGTGATATTTTGACTCGTGTCCTGTACCAGAAACCTTGCTGAGGTATGCCTCTTGCCAGGAGAAGAATGACCCAATATCCAACTAGATGCCTAGGGGCTGTTTAATGGCACACCTGTATCTGCATCACACCTGAGTGGAAGCATCCAGAACAGTTTGGATGCTTAAACAACTGGCATATGCTTCCTCTGTGCAGCAGTCAGCCACTTCCCAGTTCCTGCCTTGTAAATTTTGAAGCCTTGAAATCTTGATTTGTTTTTCCTGCTCCTTGCTTCTTTAGGAGTTTGCAGATCAGCACCCCGAGAAAGCAGCAGAGATTAAGCTGACCATGGCGCAGCTGAAAGTGGCTCAAGGTACTGTTTCTTTGGGAGGAGGCTTCACTGGCATTCAGCTGCAGCATTCGGTGGTTTGCACTGTCTTAATGATTTCTTCCCCAGAGGGAGACACCTTTAGTGGTGCTTAAGAAACTACAAATTCCAGACCAAAAAAAGCTGAGTTCTGCAACTGCACAAATATTGCAGGTCGAACAAATCTGCCTTACTGGTGACGGCATAGCTGCAGTTTTTTGTGATTACCAGGGAGTTAGATTGTATGGAAGTAGTTAGGTCTCCTGGTAGGATCAGCTAAATTAGATTAGATTAGTAGTTGTTTAATGGCATTCAGTTCTGTTAGTAGCAGGGAAATTAGATAGATTTTCTGTTGTACCGGGATTGGACTCTGTGGCCTCATCTGCCATCTGGTCATCTGCGGTCTGAAGCTCAGCAGAGACCGACCTGTGTGACATGCTTGGCCAGTATATTCCGGTGCTCGTGGGGAGGGAGAAGTTTTGCAGTGGGCCTAGGCAGGTTAGTAAGGGAAGGCCGCGGAGAAACAGAATGACTCAGCGCCCTTCCAGCCTACGGCCCATCCCAAGGGTGGCTGGCAGTGGGGACAGGATTTCTAACCCCCCTCCGTCATTGGTGTTGTGCAACACCAGGTCCATTAACAACAAGACTGGAGTCCTTCGGGATTTTGTGGCAGAACAACAGGTCGACCTGGCATGCGTGACCGAGACCTGGGTGCGGGAGGGGAAGACGGTAGCTCTCACCCAGCTCGCTCCACCAGGTTTCTTGGTCCTTCACCAATTGCGAACTCGGGGGCGGGGGGGAGGAGTGGCTATTTTCATTTGGGAGGCTTACTCCTGAAGGGCGCTCTCGTCCGTGGAGATCGTGGGCGTTGAGTGTGTCGGCGTGATGCTGGAGGCTGAGGAGAGTTTGGCGATTTGGCTGGTGTACCAGCCGCCTAATGCACTGGCCAGTAGCCTGCCGTCCCTGCTGGAGGCCGTATCAGGCTGGGCGTTGGAGCACCCAAGGCTGATTGTCCTGGATGATTTCAACTTCCATGCCGAGGACGCAACCTCCAGCCGGGCTACGAACCTAGTGTCATCCATGGTGGCGCTGGGACTGTCTCAACTTGTATCGGCCCCCACACATCGGGCCGGTCACACGCTCAATTTGATCTTCACGGTGGGGGTGACGGTGGACCGGATCACTGCTGTGGCAGTGCCATGGTTGGACCACCAGGCCCTGAAGGCCCGTCTGAAGGTGCCACCCCGACCCTGTTTAGGCAGCGAGCGGATTTTTGCTCGCCCATGGAGCCTAATGGACCCTGTGCGGTTCCAGATGGCCCTGCGGGATCTGAGGCCCCCTGGCAGCTCAGATGAGGTTGTGGAAGACTGGCGTGGCCGGCTCTCCACAGCCACCGACGAGATCGCTCCCAGGCGCCCTCTCTGCACTCGTTCTAGGCGAGTGCCCTGGTATACCCAGGAGTTGCGGCAGCTGAAGCGAGAACTGAGACGGTGGCGTTGCGCTTGTGACGAGGCGTCAGCAGCATCTTATAGGACGTTTATGAGATCCTATGAGATGGCAATCAAGGCCGCTAAGAAAGATTTGTATGTGACCGGGATTGCATCTGCGAGTTCACGCCCAGCCCAACTGTTTAGTACGATTCGATCTTTGACAGCGCTGCCACAGGGCAGGCAAAACGTTAGGGAATTGAATATTGGCTGTGAGGCTTTTGCGAGCTATTTCGCAGCTAAAGTCCTGGCACTCCATCGCGACCTCCCCGCCACAATTGAAACAGTGAGCGAACTCGAGGCCCCTTCCGCGTCTCCAGTTTTGGATTTAGAATGTTTCAGCCTACTCAGCCTGGACGAAGTTGACAGATTGCTTGTATCTGTACGTCCAACCACGTGCGACCTTGATCCGTGCCCCTCCTGGCTCATTAAGGTGGGCCACGAGGGGTTTTGAGATGCCCTGCGGGAGATTATCAACAAGACCCTTTCGGAGGGACAGTTCCCCGGGGCACTCAAGGAAGCGATGGTCCGTCCCCTCCTGAAAAAACCATCTTTGGACCAGGCCAAATTGGCCAACTACCGGCCGGTGTCCAATCTGCCCTATTAGGGCAAACTCATTGAGAGGGCGGTGGCAATACAGCTACAGGGCTTCCTGGAGGATGCTTCAGTCCTAGATCCTTTCCAGTCTGGCTTTCGCCCGGGTCATGGGACGGAGACAGTGTTGGTCACCCTGACTGACGGCCTCTGAAGGCATCTGGATCGAGGCGGTGTGGCGGCACTGCTGTTGCTCAATCTGTCGGCCGCATTTGATACAGTCGACCACCAGTTGCTGACTCACCGCCTTGCTGACGTGGGGATTCAGGGGCTTGCCCTTCAATGGTTTGCCTCTTTTCTTCAAGGTCGGGGACAAAGGGTGGCGATTGGGGATCAGCGGTCCCGGAGGCACCCTCTTGATTGTGGGGTGCCTCAGGGGACAGTGCTGTCCCCGATGTTGTTCAACATCTACATGCACCCCCTTGCCCAGATTGCCCGGAGGTATGGGCTTGGGTGTCATCAATATGCGGATGACACCCAGCTCTATCTGATGCTGGGCGGCCTATCGGACTCCGACCCATATGACCTTCATCGGGCGTTGCAAGCTGTGGCTGGATGGCTCAGACTGAGTCAGCTGAAACTAAACCCGGCGAAGACGGAGGTCCTGGGTCTAGGTCGGGTCGGTTCGGGGTTGGTGCCAGCATCGAGGGTTAGGAGTTTGGGTGTGCTCCTGGACTCCTCTTTAACAATGGAGGCCCAGGTAGCAGCCACTGCCAAGTCAGCCTTTTATCATCTTCGCTGGCTTGGTAGTTGGTTCCCTTCCTTGACCGCGATGACCTGGTCACAGTGATCCATGCAACGGTCACCTCGAGGCTGGACTACTGTAACGCTCTCTACTTGGGGCTGCCTTTGTCGCAAGTCCGGAAGCTGCAGCTAGTGCAGAATGCAGCAGCCAGGCTGCTGATGGGTCTCTCTAGGCGAGACCATATCCAGCCTGTGCTGAAGGCGCTGCACTGGCTGCCAATAGTGTACCGGATTCGCTTCAAAGTGCTGGTTCTTACCATTAAAGCCCTCTATGGCCAGGGTCCGGCATACCTGAGGGACCGCCTTTCCCCACATGTTCCCCCAAGAGCATTACGGTCGGGGGCCTAACATCTTTTGGTTACCCTAGGCCCCAGGGACGTCAAATTCGCTGTGACCAGGGCCAGGGCCTTCTCGGTGGCGGCTCCTACCTGGTGGAATGAGCTCCCGGAGGAGATCCGGGCCCTGCGGGACCTTGTGCAGTTCCACAGCGCCTGCAAAACGGAGCTCTTCCGCCAGGCTTTCGAGTAGGAGCCGCCGCCACTGTACCACCACTGCACTGCTACCGCAAAGAGCGGGGATGCCATCGAGGTGCATGATGGCCCTGGGCCGAAGATCGGAAGGCAGCATCGTCCTGGAACCTGCTTCGTTGTTCTGGGTCCATCTTCCAGAACCCATCTTGGAACTATGAACTTTCAGAGCACCAGCACTTTATTGTAATTTTGTATTGTTTTATCCTGCTTTTAACTGTTTTATCATGGCTTTGTGCTCTTATTGTTAGCTGCCCTGAGCCCGTTGGGGAGGGCGGGATATAAATTTGAATAATAAATAAATATATTTTTTTCTTTGCTTGGCATAGTCTATTCTAATTTAGTTAGGCTATGCAAGGCGTTGAAGCCATAACCCTGTCAACTGGAAATTGTATTCAGCCATCTCTGAAGTTACTGAAACTTCCACAGAAAATATTTCCATGAGTTTTGATGTCATAAGGGTTAGAAACGTGGCTTCTGTGTAAGTGAAAATTGAAATTCCCAAGCACCTGGCCCCTGTAGAACCGCAGCATACACAGAGGCCTATTTAAACGTTTCTGCATCTCTCTCTCACCCATCTCGAATGAAAAAGAGGGTTCCTTCCTGTTTCAGAGAACAAAACCTCCAAGCTGAGAACTGGAGAAAGGCACTGTGGGTAACTGCTTTTTGGTTTTTATGTCTAAGGCAACATTACCAAAGCATGCGTCATCCTGAGGAGCATAGAAGAACTAAGGCAGAAGCCAGGCATGGTGAGTAACTGCCTAAAGAGAAGCATGCGCATAATCATTTCTAGTGCCTTGTGTGATTCTTACAGAGCAGTCCCTAGCCGAGTTATTCCACTCTACGACCATTGATTTTAATGGGAATACACTGGAGTAACTCTGCACCGAATTGAGCTACGAATTAGACGTTTTGATGTCTGTTGAGTGTTACATCAGTGCGATTTATCATTTCAGATTTCATCTTTAATAAAGTAATAAAGCTGTTGGCATAAGAAAAAATAACTGAGGACAGCAAGGGTTTTTAATAACGGTTTTTAACAGCAACGGTTTCTTGCCAGGTTAATAGTTCTTAAGAACCACTTGATTCAGTTTGCTTCTGCCCCTCTTCCCCCATCGCTAATGTAACGTGGGGGGCCAGAATTGTATGATGGTTTTGTTTCATTGTTCTCTTTGCTGCTGTGTTATGCCAATAAAGGTCTATGTATGTGTATGTGTATGATGGAACCATACAGTTACTGGGCTTTAGAATCGTATTTTAAATTATTTAACGGATTTTATGTGTTTTATATGAGTTTGATGTGAACCCCCCTGAGCCCACTCTCGGGGAGGGCAGTATACAAACCTAATAAGTAATAAATAAATGGTTGTGTCAGGGGTCATTTCGTAGAAAAAGAGCTAGGGGAACTCATTAGCATAACTCATTAGCATATGCCACACCCCCTGACATCAGGGGCCCGGGGGTGGACCTGCAAGGCCAGTGGGAGTGCGAGGAAGCCCCACCAAGGCCCTCCCTGGCCCCAGGCAGGCAGGGGTGGGGAGAGGCGGGGAGGAAGCAACTTACCCTCCCTCTTCTCCTGTCTCCTCCTGGCTGAATGAGGGCTGGAAGCGGGGTGGCCGGAAGCAGGGGGCGGGGCTTTGTCATGTGCCCCGCCCTCCTGCACCTCACCCGGGGGAACTGCGTTCCACCGCGTTCCCCCCCGAAATGACCTCTGGGTTGTGTTTGAAGGACTTTGTTTTATTATCTTAGTCATAAGTAATCTCAAGCAGGTCTCTGGAGAGGCAGCATGTACGCTTTCTAGATCAACGAATCTAATGCTGCGTTTTAAACGGTTGCAGGTTTCGGCCTTGGTCATGATGTACAGCCACGAAGAAGACATCGATAGCGCCATCGAGGTCTTGACACAAACCATTGAGTGGTATGAAAAATCCCAGGCAAGTAAATTGTTAGATGGTTGTGCCAGTGGATGGGGTGCCTGGAGTCTGTATTTGTGTGGGCGCAATGCACATTGTTTTTATTTTGAACTCGCGTTGTTGAAGGATAATAGCAGTGGGGGGGGGGAGAAATTCTCATGCATTTCAGTTCATTGCTGTTGGCGATACGGTCGTCAGTGCTGCTTCCCGAAACACCCTTCCATGACTGAATGACTGCTGTGCTACAAACTGTAATTGAAAATTTTTGTGAACCCCAAATACCGACACTCAGTTCTGCTTCCCGCTTCCCTAAGTGATTTACTGCTTCGGCCGAGCCTTCCAAGCAAGCTTCAGCAAGGGATGGGGTGATTCTACTGTCAGGAGCAGTCCTAGCCAGCCCCCAGCCTCAACCCTCCAAGGAAGGGGGAAAACGAAGAGGCGCTGGCTCCTGCCGTCACTTGCATCTCTGCCATCTGGTTCTCAGGCTTCTGGCAGCAGCTTTGGCTCCCACCCCCTTGCACGTTTCCTGGAACGTGGAGAGGTGCCACATTGGGGGAGAGTGATCAGAAGAACCACAGATGCTTCCAAGCCATGGAGGGAGTATCCTCGTCTTAGCTCTGATCATCAAAGCTTCTGTGATTGTAATACCGTCTATAAATGAGACATACTTTTGTAGAAACTGGCGCAGTGTGGTGCCGGCGAATGTCGACTGGGAAGGGACTACTTCGAATCTCCCTTCCACCATGAAGGCTGCTTTAAGGAGCACCCCCCTGCGTGTGCACACTGCCATGTACATTGTGCTCTGGTCCCAGGGCTGGGGAGGATAATGGTGCTTTAGAGGGGGACAGAGAGCAATAGAGATGGGGGTGGGCCGGAATCTGTGCTGACAGGAAACCTCCTACCTAACCAGTGTTCCCTCTAAACTGAGTTAGTGTGAGCTAGCTCACAGTTTTTTAGCCTCTGGCTCACACATTTTTGTCTCAGCGCAGGAAGGATGGCTCCAGAGCAAACTAATTTATGCAGTAGCCAAATCACTCGCTCACAACTTTAATGCCAGGAGCTCACAAAGTAGAGTTTTTGCTCACAAGACTCCACATCTTAGAGGGAACATTGTACCTAACCCAGCTTCAGGATTCTACAGCCAGATGCTGTCTGGCTTCTTGGGCATCTGTAGAAATCTCTTCCCTGCTTTGCGGTTGCCGTCCGCTGAACGTGAGGATTGGACATTTGATTTTATTTTTTCAGAAGGAGCAGTGATTAGTGGGAACTGGCGGAGCAGCCAGGCTCTTGGTTTAGATGCGGTATTCCCATCTTTGATATCGCAGCCCTTAGAAACAAAACACCCTGGTGTGCGTGGGCACTGACTTACGGGTCCCGTGAAGGTTACGTGGGCGGACGTGCTTCTTCGGCAGTGCAGAAAGAGAGAGTGACCGTTATCCGTCACGTCCAGTTGCATAACATAACATAAGCAGGTACTGTTTTTCAGCCAAAGTCTTCAGTTCATTTGTTGCTCATCAGGGAAGCGGCTAACTTTAAGCTGAAGCATGGCCGGAAGAAGGAAGCCATCCGCGATCTAGAGGAACTGTGGAAGTAAGTCCTTCCCCGAGAACAGAAGTGCGTCTGGTAGGAAGGGGCTTCAGCGTGAGGCCCTTGAAAGGGGACATTAGAGCCCTGGCCTGGATAGCCCAGGCAAGCCCGATCCCGTCAGTTCTCGGAAGCTAAGCAGGGCCGGCCCTGGCTAGTAGTTGGATGGGAGACCTCCAGGGAATACCAGGGCCGGGATACACAGAGGCGGGCAAAATACAGGGAAGACCAGGGCCGGGATACACAGAGGCGGGCAAAATATCAAGCCATCTCTGGGAAACATCCTGGCCGCAATAGGGGTCGCCAGAAGTCACAACGGCTTCCAGGCATGCAAGCACACACACACACACAGAAAAATACAAAAAGAAGAAAGGGAGACATTAGTAGTGCTCACAAGCATCTTCATGGGGTGTGCTTCCCACCAGCCACCTGTACACTCGGGTCTTCCAAAGGAGAAGTTCAGAGGCCTCGTGTCCCTCTAAACGTGCTTGTCGCTCCGTGAAATTAATCGGGGCATAACTCACGTGGTTGTCATTGTGCAGAAGGGGCAGGCTGCGCTGGATTGCTGACCGTTTCCGTTCTAGATTTCTTACAGCCACGACAATTGCACCGCTTTATTTTTGCAGGCAGAGCCCAGAGGACATCCATACCCTGGCCCAGCTCATCTCGGCATACTCCTTGGTCGATCCCGAGAAAGCTAAAGTGTATCCTTCCTAGGTTGGTCGGGGGAAGCGGGGTGTATTAAGAGGCATCCCTCAGCTACTTTCTTAAACGGGCATCCTTGTTGCAATGAAGATCACTTCAGAGACAGCTGTGTTGGTCTGCAGCAGAACAGCTAGATTCAAGTCTCGTAGCACCTTAGAGACCGACAAGATTTTTGAGTCAAAGAGCTCTGTGACGTCCTCCTTATTGGGGAGGACTAGTTTCAC